CGAGCACGTTACCACTAGGACAACGCGCTCATTTAAAAATATAAACTCATTAGTGGTATATGTTCAACATATTGAATAATTTTTTCAATTGAAATTCCACAAGATGTGGTTTCCCCCTTCCGTACGTGCTACAGTCGGCTAAATTTCAGTTAAACAAATGAAAAACAAAAAGTATTCGTACAGCAGAAAATAAAATTCACCCCGTCGACTTGATGGACACCCCAGCATTGCGTGTTGCGCCCTCCCTCTCTTGGGGTGCAGTACTACGATGCCGCTGGAGTCACTCAAACCCCCAGAACTGAGCCTCTACTTTAGACAATCCTCTTTGGTTGAAACCTTGAATGTTTTGTACAGACGCTGGCAATCTCTGTTTGGATTACAGGACTGCTCTATTTTTTTTTCTATTTAACTCGAGTACAAAAATGCCTTTAATGTTTTTATTTTTTCTATGTATGACTTTTCTGAATGGATTTTCAACTCAAGATTTTTGCACTGTTAAGGATAATACAAATTGTAGAAAAGACAGTGAAAAGCCCCAGATTTTGAGAGGTAACCTAGACTTTTGATTTTGATTACTCTTCCAAGATGAAAAGAATCAATTCCATAATGGTATTACTGAATGTAGATACATCGAAAATGTACAAAGAATACTGGAAAGCAATTGAATACGCAGAATCCACTTACAATGAATGTGTATCAAAAAATTGTAGCTGTTTTGCTGAAGGGATTAAAAGAGATCTATTACCATTCAAGGAAAAAGGAATTGATGAGGATCTCATAGAATCATCGATGTCCAGGTTGCTAAGATTTACATATCAATTGCATAATTGTAATTGAATTGATTTTTCATTTTTTCCCCCCCCCAGAGCAACGATATATCAAATAATAGGGAAGCAATTGTACAGGAATAGAGAGTGCATGTTTCCCTCGAGATGTGCAGGTGTTGAGCATTTTCTTTTCAAAATCATCAGTAATTTGACGGATACTGAATTTATTGTAAACACAAGGGACTATCCTCAGTCTAACAAGCACTTTGGAACGGCAATGCCAATATTTTCATTCAGCAAGGTAATGGTAGGGATAAATGTCAAAATTACCTAATGCATTACCGAATGCTCTTTGTAGACATCCGACTATTATGATATAATGTATCCAGCTTGGTCCTTCTGGGATGGAGGGCCTGCTATTTCACTATATCCTCGAGGTTTAGGACGATGGGATCAGCATCGATCTTCTTTGAATAAATCCAGCGTGAAAATTCCTTGGGATCAGAAGGAAAATAAAGCATTCTTCAGAGGCTCTAGAACTAGTCCTGAGAGGGATAGTCTAGTGTTATTGGGACGGGCTCAGCCTGAATTAGTTGATGCTCAGTATACGAAGAATCAAGCTTGGAAATCAAATGAAGTAAAACGAATAATTTCATTTCAGAACAAACATTTTAATTCAGTAGGGAAGTCGTAACGTAAAACGTTAGTTAGCAATGCAATTTTATTTCTCTGAGTAACATTACACGTAACATTTGTCACACTTCCAGTTCCTTTTTGACCCAAAAAATTCTTGAAATTCATTGTTTATAATACATTTTTTTTAGGACACTCTATACAAACCACCAGCCCCAGAGATACCTCTGGAGGATCATTGTAAATACAAATATTTGTTCAACTATCGAGGGGTTGCCGCCTCCTTCAGGCATAAGCATTTGTTTTTGTGCAATTCGCTTGTATTTCACGTTGGGGCTGAGTGGTTGGAGTTTTATTATGATACCATGAAACCCTGGATTCATTACATTCCAGTTCCAAAGGAGGCCAGTCAGGCAGATTTGAAGTAAGTGATCGAGAATAATATTGTGTATAGAGACGAGGTAAAGAATGATAAGTTGATTCACCAAATATACAAGTATTAAAGTTGATCATCGAAACCAATTGCAAAAACTTCATGACATGACTTGGTTTTTTATTTTTTTTTATTATTATTAATAGAAGACTGATCATGTTCGCTAGAGAGAATGACGACATGGCAAGAAAAATAGCTCAAAGGGGTAGAGACTTCATATGGAACAAATTACGAATGTCAGATATTGTTTGTTACTGGAAAAGAATTCTTCAAGAGTATTCCAAACTCTTGACGTATAAACCGAAACTGAGAAACGATTTAATAAACATCAATAAAAAATAATGAAGTGGTGCATAATCTTTTTATTTTTTTATGTACATATTGAATGATGGCCGACTATTATTATCTGTTAGGAAATTCAGCCAAATTTACTGGTGAAATTTTATGTAAGTACGGAGAAAATATATTACAATACAAATAGATTGAATAAGCTGCAAAAATAACGCCACTATCCCAACAATATTGTCAATGTTATTATCGATTTCAAAGCATCAATGAATTCAATCATTAATAAGTACTTAGGTAGACAATTGAAATTTTACTAGATGAGTAAATGTCGAGTGCATTAATTCTTCTTGGTAATAAAAAAAAACTGTCAATCAATACTTGATTCAATGGATAATTCCTGACGACCAAGTTATTCGTGTGAAAAAATCAAATAGAAAAATCAATGCTCATTGAATTTTTTCATCCATCTCATACAAAAACAATATGGAATCAATCAATAGAAAAGAATATGCTTTATCTTGCATATAATTTATTATGTATCATGTATCATCAGAAATTTGTATTTTACAAAAATATTTTTTAAACACTCGGGTGTCCATTATATTGGTCGCTTCATTACAACACATTGTTTGATGTTCCATCATTAAATAATAAAATTTGCATAATTTTACATCAATGATTTCTATGATAAATATATTATTCATTAACCACGTAGAAATTCGTAGCAATCTTAGCAACTTTATAAAGTTATATATGCATAATTTTGTCATTTCATTAAATACCAAGTAATCATAAAAACTATTGATTTAAGGAGAAACTATAAAAAAAATTTTTTTTTATGCATGAAATACGAAAAATTTCTTCAATCTTTTCATTATAAATCAATAATTATAAAATATTAAGTTCTCGATTAAATCCACTTTATGTATTTCGCTACTAAATCTCATAAGTGGGAGACTTCCAAAAATTCATTATTATCGAATTAACTGACGTTTTTTAATGACACAATATTTGGGGTTAACAATGTATCATGTATTCGCGGTTAATCGTTTTTATCGACTAGTCAAACGTAACGTAACGTAACTCTTTTCCCGAAATTCTCTTAAACTGGATGAGAGATAGCGAAATTTCTCTCAAAATTTCCTCTATAGTTTAAAATGCAAATTACGAAAATAATCCTTACAAAAATCTCGCTATGTCTATTAAATTGAAAGATGTTTTTCGAGAAATCGGGTAGGGAACATGAGGGACTCTTTTTTTCAAATTCATCTTTTCATCTTTTCCCCCTTGATTATTGTTGGTCGAAGGCAATCACATTCAGTCCATCGGTCACTCCTCAGCCATATTTTAACCATAGTAACAAGCAACACGTCACATGATTTGGCAGTGTAACGGTCACTTAGATTAAAATTTCAATACATTAACAATAAAATGCATGATCCTCCTCTTGCATTTTTACATTATGACGATGCTTGCGAGTATAAATATAACTTAGGAAATACAATGTTTTATATCTCTTTCTAATGGTTTTTAAATAATCGCGAATTTTTCTTGGTGATGGTAACCAGTGACACAATAACATGGCATAGTCACTTTTCTATATGATGCACTGGCATTGCTTTGAATGCTACCTTACGTTAATTTAAACGTAAACCTCTGCAGGATAATTAAGAAAATAATAAAGAAAGGTAAACGGCAAGATTGAGTGTTATATATGAACGTTGAACCTTTAGAGCTTGAATTCACAGAGTCCTGGTTGGAAGATGTAACAAGCTGTTCGTCAGTTTCACCTGGAGGGATTTCCATTTCATCACTTTTTGGTTCATTATTATTCTGGAGTATCGCACGAGGAATTACTTGATTCATTCTCTATTGTTTTTTTTTTTTTTTTTCAGTGGTGGCATTGGCTGAGGCAAGAGGTACTTTAATTTATGATCTCTTCCGCTTCGGATTAAATGGCCAATTGGATTTTGCCCATCCTCTCATTTTTTTAGCATTCCACCGAATGACAATGCTGAACGATAGTTGCTCATCTCTGGAAATATTTTACATTCTTATTCTATCGTTAATTCGAAGTGAATAACGTGAATTTTATTCTCTCAATGATGGACGACGCTTGAACGTGGGTCTCAAGGAAACACTATTAGTTTTTCATGTTTTTTTTTCCTCAGCCGTTCTGAGAAAGTGAATTTTGTGGTACGTGATGTGGATAAAAGAATTTTATTGTGACGAGCTAGAGTTGAACGAACTCTTTGGCGTCCATATAAATATCATGATTGGCGAGTGCGATAAATGTCCAGCCCCTGAATTTTACAATTAGGAGGGATCTCAAGAAATTCACCAATCCGTGCAAGGCATTATATTAATAATAATTATCCGAAAATATTGAACATGCAAATATTGAAAACTTATTGAATCAGATTACCATAAAAAATCATTGGCTTTAGACATGAGAAAAAATAAATAGAAGGCTGTGCAACAAAATTTCAAATTGTAGTGTGCAATAAAAGCAGTGATTTGCAGTAGTGAAAAAACAACTTTTCGTCAATTCATTCCAGTGCTAGTGAGAGAGCAGGCATTTAATCAAGTGTAAGTTCCAAATCAACACACTATAGTATTTTCTCAACCATGCACCTTTTGAAAAATGAAGATCTTCCTCTTGATCATCTCCTCTCGTTGGCTCCATCGTGCGATACTCCACCATAATTAGCATATAAATATGTAGGCTGTCTCAAATTCACTAGCCAAAAGATGAACACGAGATAAAAAGTCGAGTTGTTCTCTAGTGCAGTTAACGAGAAAAATATCTGAGTACATATAAAGGAGACGTTTATTACTTTTTTTTCTCACGCATTTTTGAGAACGAAAAAAAAAAATATTCAAAAATATTTCTCGAAAACTTGAATATCGGGTAAATCGACTTTTTACCTTTTACTTCTTTGTTATAGAATGTGTAAGGATTGTACGGCATGCAGGATTTGATAAAACAAGTTAATAAAAAAAATAAAATAAGTATTAATCGCGTGGTTCGTTGTATGGAAGAATTAGATAAAAGTGAGAGGTCCCGCTGGAATTATTGATTATGATAAGTGAAATCACCAAAAACGAATTGTGCCATTGAAGCCATTAAATAAAACGATACTGTGTATTTTTGAGGATTATATTTACTCTGGTTGATTGTGGATTCGATGGCGACGATCTTTCTCACACAACGACTCTTCTTTTCTAATAATAACATTTGAAAATTAGCAGTAAAGTTGTAAAGTGGGATGAGTTGAACTTGCAGTTTGACTTATTTTACATTTATATACTTTTTTTTCAATGAATTTTTCATATATATAAAGAGTATAAAATTCAACTTATCTCATTTCATGACTTCACACTACTGAAATAATTCTTCTTTATTCCGAGGATTGAGTACTTTTGAACGTGGACACGATAATTGGATATATTCATTCAAAGAGGAAGTTTTTTAATATGATAACGGACGAGAAAATGAATATCTATATGATCGGATTTTTTACGTACAAAACATCGCTCTACATATATTGCCGGAAATAATCTACGGTTGTTAAAGCCAATCCGCTGAATGTTTACATAGAGCATTGAATAGAGGAACACGAGGGACGTTGCATCATTTCCGAAAGGTATTACCGAGGATTTTTAATGATTTTTTATTTATTTATCTATGCGCGCTGTTAAACGCAAGTCATGGACATATTCATAAGGAAAAATATAATATTTTGAATTGTTGCAAGTTCAATTGAAATTAATTGAAAATTTTTAAAAGTGATAATTTAACCTCTGATATGTTAGTAAGAAAGGGAAAGAATATATTATTTATGTATTATGTATACTTTGTATTTGAATTTGTATTTGTACTTTGAAAAATATATGAAATTTGTATTGGTAATTGGGAGGCGTGGGAAGTTTCACGTGTAGAAAATCATCGGAAAATAATCGAATTGGTCAAGTACCTGCATCTAAAACGATGTCGTCAACATCGTCGTGATTGAGATCGTCGCCGTGCTCCTCCAGATTGCCAGATCGATAGGGATAAGTATTTTTCCATTGGATATTACCTAGCGTTCCGCGACTCGCTGATCTACAGCCAAACCACCAGTAGGCAGTCGCCCTTGGAAATGCAGGATCAGCAATATCAACCTGGTGAACAATAACATTAACCAAGTATCGACATATGGCGAAATAATGAGAATGTGTTGCGTGAATTCACCGAAAATGTACGATCATTAAAGCGGTAGTACGCCTTGTCCTTGAAAAAATACGTGAAACCGTGATACGTTAGTGCTGCATCAACATTGTTGGGCAATCCCTCCCAATTTGATATGAGTTTTGGATAGGTGCTCTTCACCGGAGGTTTCTGCGAGGGATCGAACCTCCAAAATTTGGTCCCTTTGTAGAAGTAGATTTTACCATTACCAGTCCATACTGTAGCTGCATCAATGTTGTCGGGAATCCCAGTGAATCCCTCGCTAATGTCCTTTGGATAGTCACCATCCATTCTACCCCCAACGTATCTCCAGTATTTGGAGCCCTGATGCAAAAAAAAAATAAGTAAAAGAAAACTAAAGAAAATTGATTGATTTAATAAATTAAATTCAAATTATTGAAAAATATATACTTTGAAAAAGTAGGTTTTTCCGTTCTTGTAGGTGAAAGCCGCATCTATATTGCCAGGCAGCCCTCTCCAGGTAGTGGTAATTGGCCGGGGATATCCACTAGCCACACCGTCAGATGTCAATTTCCAATAATGATCCCCTAAGATTAAATAGTAGATTAACCGTTAAAATGATTAATTGGAGGGAATGATTTGATTGTGAATGCAACATTTTGTAATATTTACCCTTGAAGACATAAGTATTACCATCAGCAGAATTGAACATAGTATCCACTTTAGGATCTGAACACAATTCTTGATCCTCCTCACCAGTTGGTGATGCAGTAGTTCTGTGATGAACGTTTGTATCGGTACCGCCGATTTTCGACGTTCGAGTTCCGTACAGGGCCTGAGCATAAAAATTTATTTATTCAATAGTCAAATGAAATTTTGTTCATTTGTACGATTGTTCAATTTTTACCTGAATTCCTTGAATGTCATCGCTATCAAGTACAAAATCCGGATCGTATCCTCTATAAAAGGGTGCCATCAGAGCTGATTTTATATCGCTGTGGCTCAAACCCAGAGAATGACCAAATTCGTGAGCGGCCACTTGAAAGAGATTAGTTCCCCGGTAACTATTGACTGTCCAGTGTTCCGATTCGTCAAAGTGGGCATCACCACCGTACACTGGGAAGTATGCATGAGCAAGAGTCCCACCGGGTCCATCGAAGGGATCACCATCCCCGTGCTCGCCTCTCTCGAATCTGATCTCAATGTGTACTTGGCCGGATCTTTTTTGAGTGAAAGTTAGATCAGTGTATTCTGACCACACCGCAAACGCTCGGCTAATATCTTTATCTACTACTTTTTTTTCTAATAATGTCGGGTATTTCGATATCTTATACGTCAATTTCTTCACTCTCCATCTCGATCCTAAAAATCATTCAATTATTTATTCATGGAATTTTTTTTATCGCGGATTTGTTAATTGACCACTCGTTGAAATTGTGATGAAATGACGGGACAATTTTATTCCAAAGCTTTATTCTTGTGAATTATCGTTAACGTTCTGTGTTCCGGCTTAGAGAGAACACTCATTAGCTTGCGTGTCTCGACTTTACATTTATGCAACTCCATGCCACCTACGGCTTACCCACTGAGTACCGATCATCAATAATTATCGAGATACATGTTCATAACACGCCTGTTTAATGTTATATAAACTTGGGACAGTGTTTTTCTGGATAAAACCGTGAGAAGCATTGTCTATGGTATCATTTATGATTTTTTTTTTCTTTCAAAATTTCATTTGGCAGACTTTTTGCAATAACAATCATCAACTCAACCTTTTGTCGTAAATCAACAAAAAAAAAAAAAAAAATCGACGTCATTTCCAGAGAGAAAAAAATGTACGTTGAATCTAGAGATTCAGAATCATGATTTAAGTGAGTTTGTCCGAGTTGCGATAAAATTGTTCGTGAGACGCTTGAATGAACTTGAATAGTTGTTACATGGGTACGGTATTCAATGGATAACCAGGCAAATTTTCCATATCCGTAAGGGTTAAGGATTACATACCTTGAAGAGCATAACGTTTCGACCTGCCATCAGAGCTAGCACCAACTTTGTCTTTGACACCACATCTAGGAGCTGACATGAGTGTAATGGTCTCATTGTCTAAGAAGCCTACATACAAAAAATAAATAAAACAAATAGGAAACACATGAGAGAATGCTAATATTTGCTCTCCTGATATTTGTCAAAATTTTTCTAGCGCAATTTCAACACATTATTTTCTCAGTGATCTCGACGTCCATCAATTTATTGGATAGGCAGTAATCATTGCATAATTATAGCGGTGGAAATGACGAGAAATAATTCCACGTGGGAATAATCTTCTCTAGCCTTCTATATCATACCTTTGTTTTTTTCTTTTCATCAATAATTATGTTGTTTTTATTGAACATCAGTAAACGGTTTATGAGTGGAATGCAGGACCTGGTGGGGCACGCATTAAAGCATGACTATCTTCGACTCAGTAGAGTTAAAAATTAACGTACATAATTCTAATTGTGACAAATTTTTAGAATTGGGAGGTCTCAGATTTATCGAAAATGGGAATTTAAGGAGTAATAATACGGCATCAATGAATGCGATAATAGTGGAATTCTTTGAATTGAAAAATGATAAAGCAGTAAAAAAAATCCATACATCGTCAAGGTCACGGCAACTAGCAAATATAGTTATATAATGGTCCAAAACAAATGGGTAGCCAGGTAATTTTTCATTTTTGTAAAAAAAAAAAAAATTGATTCAATTTTTATACTTTCATTCAGACTTATCGATAAAAATTTTAGTCGTGAGTTTTCGATTAAATGAATAGAAAATTTCCCTTAGAATTATTACCTGTGACGTTCAATCCTGCAAAGGATTGGAAATCTGTAATAGCTTTTGACATTGTTTCCTTCGTTATAATTTGACTACTGCTCGGATTTGATGGTGGCAGGTACCCAAACTGCGATAAATATCTCTGAAAAATAAATGAAATGCTCCATTATCCCAAACTATATTGACACAAATTTATAATCTACTGATAACAATTACTTGACGCCCTTGTATCGTGAAAGCTGATGACTTCCTGCAAAATATCATTGAAATAGCTAAATATTGAATGATAAATCACTTCAATGTCAAAAAACTGATGAAATCATTCCATCATCTTCAATTTTTTTATAATATAAATTGGAATAATTCATAATGAGAATGCTTGTTCATCTGTTGAATATCAGTGAGGGTTTCATTCATAATGATTAACGGTATGTGAGGGTGATTTATATTACTTGGGAGTTGTTAAGTATTTCAATCATTTTTTCTCTAAAATTTCGGTAGAATTATTTGCAAGTGTCATCTCGCATGATTATTTCAACTCGCCAATCATCAATAACTAATAAAAAATTATGGACTTGTCTTTGTGAAAAACTTTTCCTTTTTTTGTTTTTTTATTATAACAATTATTTTATAATTTTTATGAATTAGTTATACATTTTTCGGATAGTGTTTGATGAATTGTAACAATTATGTAGCGAAGAGTTGAATGGAACGGTGAAGTTTCAGTCGGTCATAACCGAATGCCTAAATTCCGAATATCAATAGAAGTTGGAGTATACTGGAGCTTTCCTTGACCGCAATTACGCGCTGAGAACACACTAGTTACGTCATTTATCAGATAAATTTTGTGTAAGATAAATCACTAAATATAATTGGATGAAGAGAATAAATCAACAGCGTATAAGTAAAAGGTACGAAGTGGCTTTCGCTGATACTTGGGCAAATTTTTCTATATCTTTTTTTTTAAAAGTCAGTAGTTTTTATAATTAACGGATGAAACCAAAGTTACGCGATGCATTACTTTCCGGAAATGTTATCTTCGACATTCACAATGGTTATCAGTCTATCTAATCAGTCGCATTCGTGTATCACTAAATATAATCTACGACGTTGTCATGTGTAATGTAGTTCACCAAACGATGAGAAAAATTGATTTCGCACTATAAATGTTTATAAAAGTGTATAACATAATGTGGAAAAGCATTTAATTCTCCTAGATCTCCCATAAGAAACACGGAAAACATGAGTTAATAATAAAATGAAAATTAAAAACAATATGAATATGATTATCAATCAATCAATTGAATTAAATATTGGAAGCTTTGAAGAGGGGATTTAGAAGCGTGTAAAAATGTGTCGAGTGTGAGGCACGCGTGATGGGTCGAGGGGGAATGTGAAGGATCTGTGTGGCGAAGACAAAGCCTATACTATTACCCTCCGTATTCGGTGGTATTCGCGGCGCGTCGCATCGTCTCGCGTCGCCAGGCTATGCTGAGGGTGTGGAATACCGATGCCATCGACAAAGACCTCTCCAAGGACAAGGTCATCCCGGAGTTCACTCATCAAATAGCAAAAAATGCATAGCAAAATGCAGCATCAAACATGAAACCATCGACCATCTACGAATAATTTGCTTAATTTGTAATTTACTGGTAATTTGATAAAGTAGAATTGAAAGAGTTTAAACTAAAAGAAATCTTGGCAGAACCACGCCATCGAGATGAGAAATATCCGTGAGTATGAGGAAAGGTCGCTCCAACCAGTGACTCACTCATTGGCGCGAAAAATGCTGATTCAACGGCGGCCGGAAGTAATCTAGCATATGTACATAAATTGAGTACATAAACCCCGTCTGTGGTAGACTGATTCATCGATTTCAGTTCGCACGTTAATTACTTCAACACTGTTAATCCTTTCATCGGTCAATCACATCACAGGATGCAAGGCATCCTGCAAGAAGAAGAAGAAGACTTTCATTCTCTTACATCTCACGTTCTCTAATCCAAACTGATATGCACTCAAGTTGAGGAGAATTATTGAATGTTTTGTCAAAGCAGCAATTTGTGAGCAATTGATTTTGTCCATTCGTTTGATATTTCAACGAAGAATAATTGTGAAATAAAATTTAAGAAATAAAAAATTTAAAAAAAAATAGAAGAACAAGATGTGCGTGTTGAATTTGTAATTCAGTGATCTCGTCGTGAGTTCACTTGACAAGTTGGTGATGATTAATTCAAGAGACACTCCCGGAACGTATCTTTATCATCTCGTCTGTTTTTATACACAAGTGCCAACCAGCATGAATTTTCAATTTTCAATCAAAGTTACAGATATTAGCTTATAGCTATTTTGATGTTGGAAAAATTTGTTAAATTTGCGTTTATAAATAGGATTACTTGTGAATTGTGATTAATTAATTTCACTATTTCATTCGAATGGCAATGAATTCGTGTACTGACTAGAGAATCCGCAACAACGAAGGTCAACCTCTCGATGGTTTTATTTCTCCATTTCCGCATTCAGGCTATACATTATTAACCATTTCCTAGGATACAATGAGGATTCAGTGGAGGTGTAAGAGCGATTAGCATATATCTTTGTTAAATGGCCGAGTGAATTCTCCTCGCCGTATTCTTTCATCTCGTGAATCCCCCTAAGAAATGCTCAATGCGCTCGACAAAGACACCCGGCGAAGGTCATACTATTTGAAAATTACACTTTGTCTCACATGAACAGTCATTTCTTTTTTTTCACTCAGGATTGGTGCTACCATTAATTTACTCATTCTAGCCACTTTATATAGATATTTCTCTCTTTAACTCCTTCATATTCTCTTCCAATCGTGTGCCAATAATGAATTATTCCAATATTTTTATCAATTGGGAATGCAATTTGCTATGCAGATAGATGCATTACTTGGACTGATTCAAGTGTCAAACGATCAATGAATTTTGACGTATTTCAAGTAGAATTCCAACTTTTACTCGTAACTCTGGTGATATGACAATAAAACGAATTTTCACGATTTCCAAGTGGATTATGCATGAGAAATGGATGGACGATTGATATTTCATCAATTTGAAAATCACCACTCACCATAGCACCATTTTCAGACATGAGTGGCACAGCATTGCGCGTCTCCACGCACAACACAATCACAAGGAGGACAACGTGAAAAACGTCAAGCATTCTTCTCTCCGTTTTTCTAATTTCCATGATTAAATAATTCACTGTTAATCACTTTATCAATTGGAAGGTGATGTAAACAAAAATGTATGGCGTGCAATTTCAACACTTCCTGGCCTCCAACGGGTCAGGACAACATCGTTGCCACGATACTATCGATTTGAAAATTTTCAGCGGGCACTTATTTTCCTCGATCAGATGAAGGCAGTCGTGAAATTGAAATGGAATTTTACAAGTTGGTTCAAGTTGGCTATTAAAAAAAATTGATTTTTAGATTTAGAAGATTTGTTGGAGGACAAGTGAGTGAGTGACCGAGTGAGTGAAAAGGAAGGGAGAAGGAAGATGCACTCGGTCTTCCGCGTGACGCGTGCTTAGACCGGAGTCAACTGCCACTCTGAGTTCCTATCGGTACCGCGCACCGGGTCTTATGTTTGCCCTACCCTCAGCCGCTCCACCGCTCCACCTCTCCACTGCTCCACCGCTCCACCGCTCCACCGCTCCAGCGCTCCACCGTTTCCTATAACGTATACCTTCCTCTCCAACAACACTCTCATCACATCTAATCATTCTCTCATCACATCTTCTTTCTCATTCATTCCTTATGATCCTGAAAAACTTAACTTGCCGGGCTTTGCCATCGTCCTTGGGATAACTTCAATCCTCTGTTTGTTTTTCCAATATTCCAAATCAACATTAATTGCCTGCCTATCAATATCACAGTGCCATTTCCATTCCACCGGCGAGTATCATAGAATTTCCATTTCCATTTCCATTTGCATTTTCATTGACAAAGTGCATTTTTTTTTTTTCATTCTCGTTTCATCCTCTCCTTTGTTAAGGGAGACATCAATCTAATTAATGTCTATTTAATTGTCAAGATTGAGCCCTGTGAAATTATCCCGGCAGTAGATAAACATTCTAGGATTCCCAAAACATTGGTCCCTTATGAATTTTCAATCTTTTAATCATTTTTTCCATTCGTGTCTACATTTTATTATCTTATTATCCATTTACCTCAATGTATTTTCCGACAAAAATATTCAGGTGAAAGTATTGTTCAAGATTGTTCAATGGCATGAGGAAACAACATTAACTCAGTATTGAATTACCATCAAACCAGGATTAATTAAATTTGTATTTCTTTGTTGAACTGCAGCTTGTCCTTTGTATAAAAGTGATGTGACTCACCACCACTGGAGTGATTCCCTCAAACGTCACGCGTATATGATAATTATTTATCCTTTTCTTCTCGTTAGATTAAAAGAATCAGCGGTGAATAGATGTTTTTTCCACGAAAATAATAAGAAAAAAAATAAATAAATAAGAGAATTTATGATGGAATTTTGAATGAGTTTTTCATCGTAGCATTGACCTGCCCATGCAACGCCGAGAATGCAGTATTCTGGTGGTTAAAGACATTCGCTATTTTTGGATTTCACTTGTAGTTTTAATAATGTATTCATGTAGTGGGAGGAATCCTTCATTCATTCGAACAACACTCTGTCGTGAAAGCTCATTAATTTTGATGAATATCGCATCATAAATATGTCTTCTAAATATCACTGAATTCATTGGAACAATTCATTGGAATTTGGAATTTCATTCACTTGGAACAATGGCATGATGATTTTATAACAACACCAAATTTTAGCCAAGAAGTGAATCAGACTACTCAAAAGACAAATCAATCATTCAATCATTCATGTTGTTGATTACAAATTAAAAGTTATTCTTTTTATAAAAATTAAGGGATCCCACTAAATTTTGGTGAACAGAACAGATTGTTAATATTGGCAGTTCTTACACCTCAATAATTTCACATGAAATTCGGAGGAAACTCCGTAGTATATATAGTATCATATATTTGTCTAATTATTTTCCGTGCTCGATAACTGTCATAAAAATGAGCAATTCGATATCTTTTGGAAATGTGCGTACATGCGAAACTGAGGGGTAAGAATTGTACTTCCTCGTGGATATAAAAGGAAGGATGTTCCTATTTCAAGGAATAATAATAAAAAAAAGTTAAATGATTGATTTGTTGGAAGTTGAGTCACTTGCAAACCACCTTAAACGGAAAAATTTTCAGACTAATTGAGATAACATATTGAAGAAAATGTTCAATTGGACTTATCCTTTCTCCTGAAACTCTCTGAAATATGCTTTTGTAAATATTGCATTTACTAAACATGTGCCTCTAAGTGACTCACACTATGACAATTCTTTTAAGTAATATTGCAAATTTTATAGCATTTTATCACTCGGCTGATTGTGTTGCATACATTTACCAAGGATGATTTATCGGCGTCTCCTCTACGCGCTAATTTTGCCTCCTCCACGAAGTGATTGACATAGCTAAATTGATAATTCATACGATCGACCTGAAGAAAGTAAAAAGAGTCAGAGCAAATAAACATGAACCAACTCATCGTCCCGCGAATGTGACTCATCACTGGACAATCCAGCGATCAGCGCAACGCCACGCTCAATTCTCAATTCTCAATTCTCAATTCTCAATTCTCAATTCTCAATTCTCATTTCTTATTTCTCATTTCTCATTTCTCACTTGTGAAACAGCCAGATATAAACACTCAAAACCTCGGAAATTTTCCATTTTTTCCCAAATAATCATCTATTCTCTTTACCACTTTACTACTGATTTATGTCCAATATATGAGTGCTAAGAACCAAGTCGAAGCGGAAATATAAATTGAGAAGATTCAATATATTTTCAGATATAGTATTATAAATGAAATTTTTTTGAGATATTCACATGGAATTTCTCCAAGGAAATGCACTTGCAAATGCAAGTGAGCTGCTGTTGCTCTTGGAGTAAAGCTTGTGGGTGGTCTTGGTAGAAACCGGAAATCTACAGTAATTGAAAAATTGCCGAGTGGAGAGATTTTACCGTATAAATTCAATGCGGTTTACCAATTTCAACGTAATTTGATGTCAATCAAATGATATGTGTAAACGGTACTGGGATATTGTTGAAGCGAGTCACGCCTTCTCTCATTCCGCTTCAACATTCGAACTTGAACCAATAGAATGAGGAAGAAGCCACTGCTTTGCTAAATGATTCTTTCGCAATGGTGAATAGCAATAGTAATGGCGATAATTCCGTGATTTGTACAGTATGGACAGTTCTGCTTCATCAATTCAAATCAATTGTGGTTGTCACGACGATCTCACCTTTCTACTGTTTAATTCAACTTTTTATATTGCTTCTACGGCTGCCGAATTTCATCAACTCGATTGACGTAATGTAGATGAGTTGCGTCACTGTTGCAGTTGATTTTTCTTTTTTAATGGCTCCACTCATTTTTTGAGAAACCCATTTTAATTGAAAATATCGATAACTAGTTTAAATTTACCAGTTGTAAATAGTGAATTTATGCAAGTTGAAAACTTCCTTAGATTTCACGTACAATTATATATGCCGGCTATTCACAAAATTGATAATATAATCGCCAATTGATATAACAAGTTCAAGAATGTCTGACATGTTTTCGAAAATGCCAAGAATAAAATTGAGAGCATCGAATGATATTTTTATTTTCCTTTAAAAATTAAAATGTACATACATAAATCATTCATGTTTATATATTCACGTCCAACGTGTTCATGTGGCTCTCAGTGGTTTTTTTTTTCAACGCAACACACTGCCCCATTGGAGAATTTCTTTTGACAATTCAATGAAAAACCCTTAAAATTTTGCAATATTATTATTATGGTAATCCAAATACCTGTTGACATTGAAATAGGCAATTCCCCAGTAATTACCGAATTTCTCTCTCGCCTCAGCCTTCTATTGAACCAATTTTGTATACGTGTATTGCTTAATTAATCATAAAAATCACTGGAAAAAAAAAAATCAAAAATAACCCCTATCATTCATTTATGTTTATTTGTAAATTTTCAGACACAATTTCCAGTCACTTATTTATTGGTGACAAATATTCAATTGTTAAATCACTTGTTAAATGAAATAACCAATAAAGAAAAAAAAATGGGCAGGTGCTTCTGCAGTGGCATAGCTGTCCCATTGCCCCAATAATTATCCCTTGGACTATTGAACAACCAGCAAGAGCAATTGGCCAACTCTACCCCAAAAAGGCTTATTATTATAATCAATAAATATTATGTATAATAATATATTTATTATGATAATAGTATTGTTCTATTTGGACAGGAATAGTTTGTTTGTTTTTCACAATATGGACAAATGTATTATTGTTATCTTACGTATAAGGTAATTATTTCTTCCACATCTCTTTCGCAGCGTGTTTTACCATTATTTTACACTTTTAATTGATTATTAAGTGCTTTTGTCATATTAATACGCATATTTTGTTCAAAAAATATTATAGTCCGTTGTTATTTGATTTCGCTTCAACTCGTGAGTACAGTGATGATACATTGTTGCGTAGATGATAAATTATTGCATATTATCTTGCTCTAAAATATTTTAAAACGACTAGGCTTTTTGGTAAACCAAAATTAAACGCTCGGTTACCGCTTACCATTCAGCAAGTAACAACAAAGTAAAACGACATATACTTAAAATTTATCGACTATTGGCCATTAATTTATGCTGCATTAAAATATTGTTTGTATTTATAATTATGCAATTGAAGTAAATTTATCGATACATCCCTAGGGCTAAATTAGTCTAATATTGCAACTTCTGCAGCTAGTGAAATAACTCAACGGAAACGATAACCAATACTTAATTAAAATTCAACGCAAGGTCCTTCCCATGTTCGATACATATATATTCACCTTCAGTAAATAATTTCTATAATGCAGATACATGCTGGCATTTGTTGAGGTTTAATGGAGATGAGATAAGTCACCTCAGCAAATTTCACTACTAAAATTATATAAAACAATTTATCTAAGACAATGAAAATATTGAAATAATAGTTGCACAGCTGTTTTACTGTCCAATAACTGCACGCTATTACTGCATTATTGTAAGTCCAATTAGTTTATATGAATTACTCAGCTTTATCCAAATGTCAAATCAATTATGGTGATAATCCTTGATATTTTTACAACATACAGAACACTTGAACAGCTGTTGCATCTTCTCAGTACAATTTTTATCACTACACACCTTTATAATCCCATGATTTGATGCTTTATAAACTCAAATTGGAGTTAATTAACGTTTATTATTACAAAAATGACTTTAGTGGAATGTCTTTGAAATTTTGCATGTTCGTCGGGAGACTATTTAATTACTCCTGTATGAATTTTTCACAATGTACTCGTACATTTTGATAATTGAAAAAAAAAAAAGAAATTCAATTATTCCGATGGATTCCAAGCTTATCACGAATAAAATGAGAAGAAAATCACAGAGGGAAATCTCGATGGAATAAAGAAAAATGCTGTTTTCGGTTATGGAAGGTTCATCAATTCATCTCCACGGTAGTGCATCTAAGACATGAAGAGAAAATTCATGGAATGTGGAATGTGCTACGCATGCTATATGGTTCGCCCCACCCCCCTCACCCCCCTTCCTTCCCCAAATGAAATACACCGAATTTTTCTTGAATTAGTATTACCTAGTTTTATCTATCAGAGTCAAAACCATCAGCACTATAACATCCTTTTAAGACTATTTTGTGTTCTGCTCGATTTTAGGCATTTACCGATTATACCGTTATACTTCAATGCATTGTTTCGATTTTTTGTGGTTTATTTGCCTCGGTGGGATGAACGTGTACTTGTTGATAGACCCTCTCCCCGACTCCGGCTCCTATGCAGAGAGTGTAGGCCTTCACCTAACAAATATTTAAAGTACAACAATTTTTATAACATGTGATAAATTTTTCTGGACGATGAGATGTAAATGAATAAATAATAAAAGCACACTTACCCCTGCTGAGACTCCGCCGCATAGTGGAGGCGGGTGCCTCCTGTTTGGTAAAATTTCTGAGTGCCCTTCCCCGTTTATCGAGAACAAGCTTATCGACCTTCACGAAAATACCGTATTTTGGTCGACAAGTGAAGTACCTATGGCCATTTACAGCACCATCATTCTTACCAGTTGGAGCATCGAGTTCAACACCAATCCAGGTCCCTGAGGCGAAGTCAGTACCCCCAATATAAGCAATAACTCCACAATAGCTGTAAGGCCTCACCATAACAGACTCTCCTAGAACAATCCACTCAGGGAGTGGTGATTCGAACCTTGTCAGATCCGTCTTTGAGCCAAATGAGCTCTTCTCATTGACAAGCGTCGCGTCCTCCATGCGAACTGATGAGCTCTCAGTCTCCCCTCCATTCTCATATACATTCACACCTGGTGAATATTTCAGGACTCCCTCAGACAAATGTGGACGGACCATTGGAAATGAGGCTCTGTGGAAGTGTGAACTATTTCTCCCACAATTATTCGACAATTTTCTTCGTCTGACGACTTTACCAGATGTCAATTTACATTGAACAATATTATTCCCTTCCAGTGGACTGTCATCATCTGAATTTGACGTTTGACTCGTATTTGTATTCATATCGTTCTTTAACTCTTCAGTTCGTCCATCACTAATCTCTGATTTATTCTCCAAGCAACTTTGTCCAGTTGAGCACTCCTCTAGGGAACGGGAGCTCTCCATCTTTACACCACTTAGGTCCTCCAGATGTGTACGGATGTCATCAAAGTACTCCTCTGGGGTCTCCTCCACCAGTGAGCTATCCATTTTTTCGGTTTTTTTCCCTTCTATTATTAGTTTGTACTCTGCGTCTGGGGTTTCATCGATACTTATCGATTTTATTGAGATTGAATCGTCAGATGTGAGATTTGTCGTTGACACCGCCTGAGAGCCATAACCACTGCTGCTCATGCTCGGGGTGTTTATTTTTGTTGACTGAAGTTCAGCGAGAGAGTCAAGGGTCCGAGAGGTTGTTAAAGGCTTTATTGCTTTTCCTCGCACCACATATATATCGTACTCAGCATCCTCGGCATCACTCTTTTCCCCATCATCAGGCACAGGTGAAGACGCCTGATTACCTACGTTTGATGTTTCCTCGTGAAGGGTTGTCATGCGAAGACTCAGCTTCCCACTCATATTTGGAGAGGCTTTAAAAGAAAAAAATAAACAAAATTAATAAATTGTGGGAATAAAAATAAATAAAAATAATCATTAGTGAAAAGTGCCAGGCACACATGGGAAAACCATTGGACCATTGGACCATTGGACCATGGGAAAACCATTTTCAATTATTAGTAAGTGAAAAATTATTTCTGTTTTTTCAAACGAAAATCTTAATTGTCCTAAGTAATATTTCCAATGTTTTCACCCTGTGTGCATAATCCCGAAGATAAATCCTAAATACTCTGAAAAATAAAACGTAAAGAGTAAAAGTGAGGTGAAAGAAAATCCAACTCAATATCAAATAATAATCGTCATTTACTCATTATGAAAAATCTATAATGTCGAAAGAAATAAAATAAAGAGAAAGATCTAAAGACAACACCGAAACAGTGTCACCTACATTTGAAAGTCGATTGCTGCACACGTGTCAGTGATATCTGGCTGAGATTCAAGGATGTCGGTCTCGCTGAAACGACACATACTATCATGTACTCATCCATTTAACTTGAAATTCTTTAAAATATATTATGTCTACACACACGCACATTCAACTCATCCAATTACCATCTATTTTATTTTCAAATCAAGGGCTGTCGAATTGATTGATAATTCGGTACCACTGGGGAAAATTATAATTATAACATGCATACACATATGCCAGTCTCTCCAAATGGCTGTCCCTTGTTTCTCCCTTCCGGAGTCTCATTGATTTTTCATCATGAAATTGAGGCACGAATGGGCAGGCATGGGCAAATTTGCTTTTTTATTTTCATTTTTGTCCATTTTTTTAAATGTTTTTGAGAGTTCTATTATATTATATGAGATCAATACAAGTAGACAGTTGTTTAATGAAAAAATTCAACTGACAATTTTGTTTTTTTCTTCTTGCACCATATTACTTTTTTACTGAATTTTTTCACATTAAAAATAGATGAGCTCAAATAAATTGCCGACCAATCTATGAGTTTTGAATAACTGATGGACAAAGCATAGGAATACTGCCCGGTGTTATATGCCTTCAGCACAGTAGAACATCTAACACTTTAACATGCAATTAAATAAAAACTAATCAAAGCACTTGCAATTCGTGCAACCATTTGCGTATGGTATAGATGATATTGCCCAAAATTCGAGAAAAGTTGGACAGAGAATATTACGGAAATATCATTTTAAAAAATTAATAAATACATTCAAATGAAATGTATGCCTATCTATTTTCTGATAGAATATTATACTCCATTAAATTCGTCTGCTGAAACTTTTCCCAACAAGAGGTGAATTTATGCCATAAAATACGTGTGATGAAACTATAGAGGCAGACTCAATCACTCACGATAATAATCGACTATTTTACCCATTTTTGTTTTTTTTTTGTTTTTTTTTTTTGTCAATTTATGAATTAATACCAAAAAAATCAAGACTCCATTTTACCTGAGATGATAATGGAGCCTTGGGATGGGCCGAAATAGTGGTAGAGGTAGACGTAGTTAAAACAGAGGAACAAGATTGAAAAAATAAATTAGTGAATTTGTTGTTGTAATGGCATTAAACAAAATTTTGTTCCTTTCATTGCTGTCGAGTAATTGAGTGACTATTCTTTATTGGTTCCAATTGTGGGCTGCTAATCAATGCGTATGCCAATGTGGCAAAGTGGTAATAGTACCTTATATATTCTTTTTTTTTGACTACACACAGTCGAAACGATAAAATGAGCCTTTCAATCACTGTTTTCCTCTTAATTGTTCTATGAATGGAATGTGGAACGTGGCAATAAAATAAAATTCCATAGGTGATAATTTTCACAAAGAAATAACGCAAGGATATTCAATCACATTATGTCGAATATTGAAGAAATATTTTCAAAGGCAAGTGTGGAAGTGTAAATAGTTTGAACATGCGCCGAGAATACAATTCTCATTGCTCCCGGAGTCGTAATAATCAAGATGAAAGATAAAAAATGCAGCTAAGCAAAATGGTTACACTTTGGAAAGCAGATGGAATAATTTTTAAACAGTTTTTTTTATTGATTTTTTTTTTTTTTTTTTTTTTTTAAATAAGAAAAGAGAACTGACGCACGATTTGCATGGTAGAATATATACTTGACGGCCTATATTCGGATATGGAATAAACTTTAAGGTGGAATAAAAACTAGAGAATATTGTGAAAATTCATTCATATGACAATAGGCATTGGTCAGCGGTGAAGCCCAGTGGTAATAACGATAAAACGTGGTACACGAAATGTTTTGTATGAATAAAACTAGCGAGCAAATGTTGAAAAAATTCAAAGTCAGGCTACCAATTGGCAGAGTGATAAATTTATGGCTGCAAAATGACGTAGCACTGCCATGGATATGGATATTTGGGCCCAATACAGTGTATAATGCAGCAAAATGAAATTCAATTAATTACATAATTCAATTACCTTGTCGTTGTCGAACTTGTGTCACTATCGTCGATATTTTTTTTTTTTTTGTTCATTTTAATAATCATGAGAAAGAAAATACGGTAAAATTAATAATGCCATAAAAATTCACATCAATAAGTTGTCATCGTTTTCCATATCAATTGATTCATGATTTATAAAATATCAATGTAAATATAATAATGAATTTTTCACAACTTGGTTTGTAAAAAATTTATATAATTCTGGTTCGAGCTAAATATATGAATACCCTGAAGAAAAATCATAATATGATATATACAAAAAATAATTCTCACCAATTCCAAAAGTCTTGGATGAAGAATTTAAGAAATTGTCATCATTTCTCGTATGGCCTAGTGATGATCGCCTTGAATGATGTGGGAGGCAATTTAATTCTGAATTGAGGTCTGTGACGCTCTCCGAACGTGTGACACTCAGAGAATCCATCGAGGTATCAAATCTCATAATCTGCAATTATATAAAAATTATAATTAATTGATTTAAAGCACGTAAATTATTTGATTCGTCTGCTCAATGAAATGAAAATATAAATACAACAATAATAATAAAATAAAGAAGAAAAAAATGTGGAGCATACAGTGAACTTGAGAAGCTGCAGTACCTGCGAGAAGTTTGGAACACTAGCGGTTTTTCTCATGAGTGGTTGGCCACGTGCCTGAAGTAATTCTTTGACAGCGACACTCTGCCTCAACCTATCGAGTGTCAGAATGCTCTCTACAGCAGACACACCTCTCGTATATTTTTCTGAAAAATTTCCATAAAATTCATGATTGAATTGGTATTATCAAATAGTGAAAATCAATGAAATATCATTTACCAATATATGTTTCACCATCTGCATCACTACTATCCTCCCCACTGGCAGCTATTTGTGCTAAGCTCTCCCTGTCCTCTAACTCTTCACTAGCCTTTGGTATATTGGAAACAATCTCATAAGTAACTCCAGTCTGTGCTAGGCAATCTGGCCTGACAATTCTCTTGAATAAACGGTCAGTGAAGCTCTGCTTCTTATAAATATTGAGTGACAGCCTCTTTCTCAAAACGAGATCCATAGGAGCTGGATGTGAGAGCCTAACAGTTGTCTTAAGAATGAGAAAAACCCGTTCATTAGGAGGTGTGAGTCGATTAAGATGAAGATTTTCGTGTATACTAGAGTCCCAAGCAGCAATAGCACATACATCCTTCTCAAGGTGCTTGATAATAGGAAGAGGATAGAATTTATTGCCAAATTCCTTGGAGAGAATAGAATTTATTCCAGTAACAGAGACCTCTTCTCCAGACTGATGAGTTGACAAATCATCAGCATTGAGATCAAGAAAAAGTACAGGAATATGTGGTTCCATACCGGCAGGTGGATGCCAGTCAGCTGGTGCCCCTGGTATTCCAGAGCCAGCAGCCGGCACCAGCACAGCATTACGCTCTTCAGTGAGACTTACCCACTGCTCTACAAGACTCTGCTCTCTCTCCACATCCTGCTCGCTTTTTGATTGCTTATTCACTAATTTCTGTATGTGCTGGTCTAAATACTGTCGTCTTCGCATAAGTGCATCACTCCACTTATCCCTAAGTATTCTGAGATCCTCGTCTTGGTAACTGTCTAGGGGAATCTGTAGAGGATTTCTTACAGCCACACTCCCAACACATATACTCAGTATTGACTGGCATATAATTGGAAGAGTACCAGAGTTCTGAACAGGTTTCACCCTCACCTGTATCCTCCTCTGTTGTCCCTGACGTAATTGGTAGACTCCACCAGTCATCGTGTCTGGATTAACGACAACCTCCACTGATGAATACTCTCCCTGTTCGTTGAGCTCCTGTATTTCTACCCACAGCTCGATTTTTCTCGTCAATTCCGACCAGCGGTCAGCGAGAGATCTCGCTTTAGCCAGCTGCTGTTGCTCAACTTCCCATCCTGGCTTGGATTTTGAGAATCCAGCACTCCTGTGGCCCCACACTTCGATACTCAGTGCCCCCTCTGCACAGTGTTCAAGAAATTCCTCGTTTATTGGTACAGTGAATTCATTAGTGTGACTAAATTCAAATGCTGGTGAATCTCTCTGCCTTGATAATGAGCAGTTTATCTGTGGTAAATCAGTGCTCGAGATGGAGGGTACGACAATGGGCTCTGGATGGCCCCAAAAGTTATACTGACAGAAGACAAAGTGGCTTAGAGATAGAGGCAATCCACTCGCTTGTTTTATCGTAACTCTGCAACTAATGTGACTCGATCCTGAATCCTCGTGTTCGGAGCAAGTTGAATCTGAGCTACTCGAACTCTCTGAGGCTGCCTCGCACATTCTGTCCGGGGGAAATTGACCCTTTGTACGACTCACTTCCACCTGCAAACGACCCGCTACCTCACCCTGCTGACTGATTATCGGCGTATGGTAATCCAACTGGACATCGTGAAATAACACCTCCAGGAATATATTTGCTACTCCTATGAGGTTGTGGTTCTCCTGAGATTCGTAAAATGGATCCTGAATCTTTAGAGGTACATCATCCTTCATTCCTGGCAATCGTTGCGAGTTGTTTGGGTCCTTCCAATCTTCATACATCTCACGCATGTCCACCAGTTTGTTCTCCAATTTCTCCATTGTCCACACCTGACTACCCATGTTTATCCGCTTCACCAGAATTGCTGGCTCACTTACGAATGCACCTCGCTGAAAAAATACACTCTTAATCATTCAAGAGTGTTTAATTAAAATAGAAATAAAAAATAATTTCAAGTAAAAATTGAAATGAACTTAAAAAAATAAAAAATAAAAATACAGACTTTACTTTACAAAATAAAAAATGTGTTACCTTTCTATTAGGACTCAGATTGTTCGGTGGTATCTGTAATGTAACACTGAACTTGGTCTGCTTATCCATTTCCTCAGCTAAAAAATTCGCCTCTTGTACGAGTGAATTTGCTTTGAGTATATCAGTCTTAAGCTGACCAAGACTGCGTTTGAACATTTCGTCACGCTCATGTGCCCATTTCTCTACTCGCATTTGTGTCGTTGGAGTACAAGCTGGTAGTTTTCCACCCTGACTTCCCCTCAGTGGATCATACGGTACATAAGGTGAATAGGGAGTTGATGGCGATAAAATATTGCGTAATTGTTGAAATTGTCTCTCATACTCGAGCCTCTGCTTCTCCAAGGCAACCTGTTCACAAAATGCCCCTGCTTGATTTTTTCCATTTTTAATTTATAAATAAATTTAGTTAATTTAATAGTCGATGGGAAACAAACCTGCTTGTCCTCCTCGTGCTGCCTCTCAAGTTTCTGAATGGCTCTCTGAATTGGATCATTAGACAGCTCATTGAGCATCAATTCCTCCCTAGCAAAATTATAATCAATATTCTGCGCTGGTGTCTGGGGCTCGCTGCTGATGGAGGTGGCAGGCCTAGGGCAATTAACTCTAAAAAAGTGATGATTTCCCCAGACGATTCTGTCGCCATGCTGCAGCAGTGTCTTTACGACGACCTGACTTCCATTAACGAAGCACCTAGCGCCATTAAGAGGACTCATATAGAGACCAGACTCCTCAATTGTTATGACACAGTGCTCAGGGAGGATGCCCAGACCATGAAGCTGAATATCCTGCTCAGTTGTTGCTGATCTGCCCCCAACGAGGGTAACATCCTTTAGATAATAGACAAGGAGCTCATTGAGGCTTGGATCGTCATTAAGATTCACCAGATAATATTTATTTTTCTCAACTTGAATGCCCGATGCCTGGACACTGATTCCCATTTTCTCAAGGGCTTGCTGCCTCTCGTGCTGGAGTTTCTCTGTCTTAACGAGCTTTTCCTCCCACGTCTGAGACATCTCCTTCATCAATCTCTCAGACTCTGATAATTTTTCGGTGATGTCTGTACGACGCTGACCCACCACTGAACCCTGACCAGTGGCGTGGAGCAGCATTTCCTTGAGTGCCTCTACCTCCTGTCTGAGCTCTCTAATTATTCTTGCATTGGGATCTTCATTAACAACAGCATGATTCACTATCCTCTTGGCTCGATCAGCATAGCGTAATGTTGACAGTGTCTCTTCGTAGTTATCAGCGGCTGGAGATATTGTGGCAACCATCACAGTTTTGCTATTGCCGCCGAGATTGTCCTTCAATAGCCATGTAAGAACTGAATCTCTGTAGGGAACGAATTTATCACGATTCTTTCCCCCGGAATTTTGATCGGCTAGCTTTGAGATGACAAGACCCAAAGTTGTCAATGATTTGTTGATGTTACTACCTTCTTTAAGCCTATCTCCAACTGCTCCTGTCTTGACAGCCCTTTCACTTCCAGCGAGATCGACTAGGCTCATTCTCGAGACCTTCTCCCCACTGACTCCGCTCTGGGCATCTGTCAGGGTCTGTGTTACCACCACTGAGAAGACCGCGTGGGATCTAGAACTCTCGGAATTCATGTTGGTTGCCGCAACTGTCCGAGACTTGTTCCCCTCTGTCATCAAATTATCAATGTCCTGATAGGAGGTGACAGCTAATTGACTAAGCCCATCGACGTATGGTCCTAGTACATTGTGCTCTCTCACTTTTAACGATTGCTTGTTGGGTTTTGGATCCAACAGATCGTGCACTTTCTCATTGTATATTTCCATGTATGAGACCTCAACTTTGTATGTTAGCTCGCAGCTCTGCTGTTTGGCGATCATGTCGAAGAGGTTGTCACAGAGACGGGGGATTATACCTTTGTTGTCGCCACTACCCATCATTGTGTATGACTTACCAGAGCCCGTCTGGCCATATGCAAAGATACACGCGTTGTAGCCTTGAAAGGCATTATCTAGAATATCTCGTCCCAGTGCATCAAACACCACCTCTTGGCTCGCAAAGTTCTCCACCGATGGTGACAACGAGTAGAAACAGTGATCGAACGCAAACGTTTTGGGCTTGTTTCGCTCGAGTTTTTCAAGAGACGTTGGATGCTGCAGGATTGTCTGCTGCCCTGTCATTTCGACAACACATTGGGTCCCCAGCTCCAACTCTGAGAGAATATACACGATTAATTATTATTATTTTCACATTTGATTAAAAAAAAAATTTCCCATTGTCAAATATTTTTTCAAATAATAGCTCAAATTTTTAAGAACAAGAGTAACTTGAAAAATTCGGTATAATTTTGTATGCTCAGGATAATATATGCCATGGTAATGTGGGAACATCAATAATCATCATTATTTACCAAGAGCCACCATTAACACAGAATGTGTCATCATTGTGCGAAATGATAGAACGATTGGATCAATAATAACAGGGAGATCATCAAAAATTTACGGTAAATTAGATTTCTTTTCCCTTGAATGAGGAAATACAATCATAACCACCTGATAGACAATTGAGTGGCCATGAGTGATATAAAGTACCTCGCGTTAATATTTCTCATGAGTCCGTATCCCCTGATCAGCATCAATGGAATAAAAAATAAAAAATTAAATTCCGCCGAGGCGAGACGGATTGGCTATTTTTTATTTAATTTCATCTGCATCATTTATAAAAATTGACGAGTGTCCTCGTTAGTTTTTCGTTCGTTGTCTAGCAAAACAGAGATAGCCAGAACTGTCGTGTGACCAGTGCGATCAATAAGAGGTCGCGGTAGTATCTCACGTGGGTGTTCAAGTAAAAAAAAAAAAAAAATCTTGGGCCCTATAATGCCACGAGGGAACCTATTTATTTTCAATAATTTCTCTTTACACACAAGAAGTTCATACCAAATCCATAGGAATAGCTGAAAGCAATCACGATATATTTAAAGGATAAGAACACTCGCATCGGATCATTCATGGAAATACGTGACGATAAATAACTGATACGATTTTTTGGCGATTGAAGGATTACTCGAACAATTATTAATATAATCGGTTGGGAGACAACTTGATTTTTATTGATTAATCATTTAGTAGTGAAGTAGTAAAGTGCTATAAGTCGAATGAATTGAAAAAAAAATCTTAAATATCAATTTATTTAAAAATATTACTTGTCCACTTTGTTAAGGATTTGGATTGAAGACGACTAATTGATTTATTTTTTAACATTTATTGAAGCGCATGGAAAGTGGTGAAAAATAAGAATGACTTATCAATTTCCATAAAAGAAAGGCCCGATATGTCGTGTTAGTTAGTCATAGAAAATAAAAGCGTAAGTGATGGGCCGTTTATCAGAGTGAAAAAATAGATATATGAATAGTAGTTTTTAATCATAGTTAATTTACTCATAAATTAATCGGTGGGGTCAGAATATCGCCAGAATAAAGCCTAAACATTTTCAACATCAATTTCCTCTTCTGTAAAGGTAAAAACCCATTAAAAATAGCCTGGGTAAAAGATAAAAACTTTTTGAACGAATACAATACTCGCCCTGAGGAAGTGTTAGATATGTGCGTCAATCGTCCTTTGTTCAACGACAACTCAAGCAATTTAACTGAAATAGCAGATTTGCATGTGCATTCTATGAACAAATGAAGAACTGAAAATAGCAATTAAATGTTCTCCAGAAAATACAACACCAATGGATACCAAATGTTAACTAAACAGTTTTCTATAAGAATTTAGTGGTGTCAACTTAATGTAGCATATATGTATTGCGATATTGCGATTATGGAGGTGAAATTTTTCAAATCGGAAATTCAGAGAGGAAACGTGACAGTTTGTTAGGAATAGTCAGTGCCTAGATGTTAAGATGAAGCAGCTCAAAAAAATGTCCCGCGGAAGGCATTTGTTCTTATCAAGGACGTGTGCTCATCACCTGCCGTGTGGACCTTAAGTTGTTTACTAAATCATGGGATGGCAATAATGAAAAATAAAAGGAATCACCTCTTCGATTGAACGGCCTAACTCTCACAGCAACTTTGATTTTATCCGTAGCCATGATTATCCTCGAAACCCGGCACGTCTTGTGTATTGACGAAATATTCAATCTAAAAATTCCTGAAAGCCAAAAAAAAAAAGACAGTGAGAAAAAAAAAATCACCCTTTTGGCCGTTTAATGCACACCACTGGTTTATTCGTGATTACAATAACATTTTCGTCCACTACATCATTGTCAACCCATAATCCACTGATCATTCATACAATTTGAATGACACTACGTCTCACCGAGCTCGTGACATACTTTGCCATTTTGCTTTTTTGATGATATGACTATGAACTCGTATGCAAGGTACACCCAAAGAGGATTGACGAAAGTAGAGGCTCAGTTCTAGCTGTTTGACTGACCCCAGAGGCATCGTAGTACTGCACCCCAAGAGAGGCAGGGCGCCACACGCAATGCTAGGGTGTAAGGGGGATGGGTGCAACTGAACACAGTCAACTGGCCACATGGCAATTGGCCACAGGTTTTTAAATATCGTCAACTGGCCACAACAGTAAATTGTAGATGGTGAGGCGTTACTGTTATTTGATCTCAGTATTCTTTATCGACTCAATTATTTGCTGTTAAAGGTCAAGAGATGGCAGTAGTATATATAAAAATTAAGAATGGCCCAGTACATCATCATAAAAAAATCGCTATTACATCGAACAAAAATACCTCCTTTGTTGAAGCCATTTATCAGTGCAAAACATCGCCAAGAAGGGCGTGATTTTTAATTTTTTTCACTTTTTGAACAAATGGAACCTGCAAAATTTCCAAAATAATTCACCATTCACGCAATAATGAAAATTCCAGGGAAAGGTGAATGGATCTGAGTTACGGAGGCCCTCGCGATTCATAATAAGCGTGAACTAGCCCTCGGGGCGTGATTTTTAATTTTTTTCACTTTTTGACCAAATGGCACCTGGAAAATTTCCAAAAAAAATTCACCATT